GGAGGAGTGGTCCTGTAAACTTGAACTGAGAGAGAAACAGTTTGAGTCAAAAGTTGACGATCTCAATAACAGGATCAATGAATGCCTCACTGAGGTTCAGTTGAAAGAAAAGCATTTTGATTCAGTTGAAAATTCGATACACGAAAGCGAAAAACATTTGGATTCGCAAGAAAAGTCATTACAAGAATATTCCAATGGACTTGAAATGAAAGAGAGGCAACTTGAGGAATGGGCCAAAGAAATTGAATTGAAACAACAACAAATTGATTCAATTCGGGCGTCCACTGAAGACCACACCCAAAATCTGGAGTACACCCCTGCCAGTATTATCGCAGTCCCTTCTTCCTCAAGTAATCAATCCAGCATGAAAAGGGATGGTAGAGGCTTGCAGTCGCTCATGAATGAGCATTTGAAGAGAATTGCCTTATTGGCTAGCGAAATGTCTGCTCATCTTAAAGCATCATCAGACCCAGCAGAATTGGTTTTAGATGCAATGGAAGGGTTTTACCCTTCAAATTTGGGTGCGGACAAAATGAAGTTTGATTTTGATCTGACAGTTATTAGAAGGAGTTGTGTTCTTCTGTTACAGGAGTTAAAGAGGTTGTCACCACAGATTAATCATCAGGTGAGAGAAGAAGCAATTAAGTTGGCGGCTGATTGGAAGGCTAAGATGACGGTGGCAGCTGAGAATAGTTTGGAGATTTCGGGGTTTTTGTGGCTGCTTACGGCATATGAATTGACCTCTACTTATAATGCGAGGGAACTTCAAAGTCTTCTTGCTATAGTTGCTCAAATGGAACATGCAACTGAACTATGCCAAGCCCTTGGCATCACAGAAAAAGCACCTGGTAAGCTCTTCAGTATTTATTTTTCATATTTATATCTGAGTTTCTTATTTTATCACTCTCTTTGTTTTTTAATACACACACGCACCTAGAATAATTCTCTAAAGTGCACCATCCCAAACTTGATTTTCTGATTAAACTCTCAATGTTTGGAGGAGGGAGGGTCATGTGGGTTAATTTGTCATATATTACTTACCCTTGTTAAGTCTATAAATCAACCTCTATATTAGTACATCAATGCCCTTTACATGCTTTGGGAAGGGAAAAAATAAGAAGAAAAATTGAATGCTTCTTATATTTAGTAGCATTGGTTATGTTCCCCATCGGGCATGCCTTTAATTGCAGAGTAGTCATTTACTTTAACAAGTTGTTGAAGGCAATGAGTTTTGGCCCTTTTTGTGTTCTGCAAAGATGATATTTTATATGGTAGACAATTTATACTTTTTATCTTTTTAGTAAGTAAATAGTTTCTCATTTTTTTCTCGCCTGAAAAACGTAAACAGTTTCATTTTAACCTCTGTAATAAATCTGTGGTTCAAGGCTTTTAGCATCTCATGTTGCATGTTATCTTGTCATTTATCTGATGAGAATCTCAGTGGAGATATGTGGCAGTGGTTCCACATATGCTCATCTTTCGATATTTTAGCATCTCTATTTCTGATTTGCACATAATACCATCTGATGTCTGATATATGCAACACGATAAATTTTTTAGTTAAATTTAGTTTTTCTTGGTTAGATTTGAACGTAAAGGCTATGCCCACTCTCACCCTACTGCTTATCATTTGAGTCAAAGCACAAGTGGCACATACTACTGTAAATATATTTTGATATGTTAAATTCAAAATTATTCACTTACCATCCTGTGTACTGCCTTTTCTTTGTTTATTTTTGCAATTGTATAGCTGGAAACAGAGTTTCTTTCCCTGTCAAAATTGAGGAACCAGAATCCTCTCCCGTCAGAAATGTAGCAACTTCTTCTTCTCCGAATCTTCAACTAGATGCCATCACATATGCAAGGAATTTGCAGCAGCGTCTAGATGAGCATTTTAGTGAGAATAATTCAGTACAGAGCGAAATGTTCGATTATTTACGAGTGTCAATTGACCCAGGAAGACTTGCTCTGACGATGATGCAAAAATCTCTTTCTGAATACTGGAGAAAAGGAGGTCTCGAAGCAACTGTCATGATGAAGAACATCTCCATGTTGGAGGAGCTAATGCAAGTCTTGCCGCATGTTGGATCTCATCTGAGAAAAGATGCAGAAGAGCTAGCGGTCAAGTGGAAAGCAAAAATGAGAGCCAATACTGATAATTCATTGGAGATTTTGTGTTTTTTGCAATTTATAGCTACATATGGATTGGTTTCTACCTTTGATGTAGATGAGATGGTAAAGCTTCTTGGGATGATTTCTCAGCATAAACAGGCTATAGAATTACATCAGACACTTGGTGTTGCAGATAAGATCCCTGGTATAAGTTTCTTGAAAATTGGCTTTCATACAAAAGCTTACAGGGAAAACATTTTAAATTGTTAATGCATTTTCTATCGTAACTTCTTTAAGTTTGGGCGGTGATACTGTGCAATTTTCCTTTTGGAACTTCTCTGGAGCAGTTTGATGAATCTTATAATTTTTGTTTTGCACATAGCAGATTTTATTCGGAATCTTATTGAAAGGAAGCAACTGATTGAGGCTATTAGATTTATTTGCACCTTCAACTTAATCGACAAGTTCCCGCCAGCACTACTCCTCAAAGAATACATGGAGGATGCATGGCAGTCTTTCTGGACAATTTGGCTGGCAAAAGAATCACTTGATGAAAAGGTACCTTCACTCTTATTTTCGCATCCAATAGCGCTCCTTAAATAGTAAAATCTAGGACCATATCCTCGGTGCATATTTACATCTATCAAGGCTTATTTTTGCACACAGAATAAGGTTGTGGACAAGCAAATAGCTGATCTAAGAGCTGTGATTCAATGCATCAAAGATTACAACCTCGAGTCTGAATACGCATCCAAGGACATTGAAATAAAAATTGTTGAGCTTGAAAAGCAAAGGGGTACTTGGAGACATTCTGGGAGACCCTATGCCTTTGAACAAGAGCTGGAAAAAAGGAAGGAAAGTAGTAGCAGCGCTTCTGACCCCAGATTTCAACCACCAGAGAAACGTCAAGCCATAGCAGCTGCGAGACCCTGTGCATTGCCAACTTTCACCCGGGGCTATCCGCAGTTAAGTTCGTCATCTCAGCTGCGGTATGGACATCCTGTGCAGTTTGACATGGCGGCCAACGACCATGAAGCTGCTGGTGCTAACTTTGGTTCCATGCAGTTAAGTCTGTCATCTAGGCTACATTCTGGACACCCTGCGCAGTTTGGTATGGCTGCCAACGTCCGCGAAATTGGTGCTAATTTTGGTTGGATGCCATTAAGAATGTCACCTCAGCTGCTTGAAAATGATGCACACCCTGCACGGTTTCGTGTTTCTGCTAGCGACCATGAAATTGGTACTAATTTTAGTGCCACGCAGAATGCTGGGTTACTTCACCCTCATCACTTGTTGCCCAGCCCTCATAGTTATCACCCTAATTGAATCTTATAGGAACCTTCCACGCATGCAAACTTTAAAGGACCAGTTTACATTGGCATTCTGAAAATCCATCCGCAGTGTACAGTTCTGATTATAATCTTACCATCCCTGCCCAGCTTTGGTAGGAGAAAGCACTTATTTTCGCATAAATGGAGTGCTCGGGATGTTTTGAAATCATTAATGTTCGTAAAGCAATTTGAAAAGATTAATTAATATAAGTAACTAATGCACATTTTAAAAATATATATTTTAGAGGTTCTTAGATCTAGGTCCAAAACGATTAGCTGTCATTGGGTCTAGTCCTCGAGTTTTTGGTTTTAGATGTAGGTCCTTTGACATTTATTACTTTTTTGTTGTGTCGATTTTACCCTTTAAGGTAAATAAGGAAAACAATTGAAAATCTAAATTTAATGCATTATTTCCTTGAAATTGAATTCCAAATTTTGAATTTTGAATTTTTTTTCCTTGATAATATTCCTAATATATAGATAAAATTCAATTTAATCAATAAAAACTAATGACTCACATATTATACCAATCGATCAGACAAGCATCCACATTAAATTATGTACCTGACATACAGGTAAATAATGTTAATACATACAGGTATATATGTACTTGCCTTATAGGTAAGTGTTTTTTTCTTGAGTTTTCTTAAGCAGTTTTTTCTGGAGGTTCATAATTATATACATATGTACATGTCTTCCATGTAATAGTGTTTTTTTTTTTTTCCAAAGAAATTTTGTACGGATTTTTATCTTAGTTGAGTTTAAAGATCCATACCAAGATATTATATGAGTTCAATTAGCTGGGCTAGAGGGTATAACTACCTAAACTAGAGGTAATTTATGGATTTAATTACCTAGACAAGAGGTAATTTATGAGTTTAATTACCTGCATACTGCATACGAGGAGTTTAATTACCTGCATACTGCATACGAGGTGTATGCATAGATATCTTACCTATTGTTAAGGTATGAAGTTTTTATGAACTCTTATTACAAATTTTGATGTCGGTATACCTTGGGAAAATTTTAGAATTCAATAAATAGATTTGCAATTAAATTCAAATCAAATATGATAATTAATATCCTACAAATCAATAACCTACCAGTTTTAGGAATTCATAATTTACCTTATTTATGTTTTAGGTGCAAAATTGGAACAAAAAATATATAATATAAAAAAGTAAATATCAATACATTGAAATAGGCATGTAATCTTATGTGGCGCAAAAGTCAAAGGACCTGGATCAACAACAATTTCTGCGTGGATTGCACCCAAAATCTCTCCTCATAATTGGACTTATGCCAAATTTTCTATATATTTTATTGAGTTTATACGTAATTTGTTTTTAATCAAATAACAAATGTCATTAGCAAAAGAAAATGGGTATTGGGTGTTTTCATTTGGATAATAAAGAAAGAGAACACTTAACACATGGACACGTCTTCAAGATAAGAAGGTCTTTTTACCTCGGTAAAAGGACATAAATCCTTGGCCTCATTCTACTACATATTGTTGTGGGTTTCCCATCAAGGCCGAGGGGCTAGGGTTTCTTTCAAACAATCAAAGGCCCAAGGTTGGGATCTCTCTACAAAATCAAGGCCCAGGGCTATGGTTTCGATAGAAAACCAAGGCCCGAGTCTTTGATTTGCTAGAGAAACTTTTGCTTCTGTCTGTTTCTAGGAATTCATTTCTACTTTCGCGCGATCCGATCTTCTAGAGGAAGACAGATGCTAGCTTTCTGAGAATTACTAGCATCGTTTGGGTTTAGGGCTTTTGGAGGGCAAAGAAGAACGAAGCGGCTTCGCAGGCCACCGTCAATGGCGACAATACACTCACGAGCTCTCTACGATGTCGTCCATAGTGGTGAGCGCCGTTACCCTATCTTTTTGTTCGCACATTTTTCCTGTATTAATTCTAGGGTTTTGTATTTAGATCGCAAGAGGATGTGTTTTTGCTTAGGGAAACGACGGTAATGGCGAGAATGTACGAGATCTCGATGTTGCCGTCCGAGGGTTCCTCATTCTCGGCGACCTGTGTTAATAAGGGTGAGCATCTTTTCCCTATTCTTATGTTCACACCTTTTGCTTGTATTAATTCTAGGGTTCCTTTCCGTGATAGAAGAACCCTTAGGGTTTCACTGCACGCGGTGATACCTGATTGGCTTTAAATCTAATAGTTGTAGAAATAATAGCGTTGAAACAATAAATGAAGTTTATGGAGTGGAGTCAAATTAGGGTTCTTCAATGTAGGGGTGCACCAGATGCATTTTTTAAATATTTGGTATCACAGAGAGCAGAGAGCGTTCTTCTGATCACCAACTTCATATCCGCCCTTATTTTGAGGACAAGAAATTGGTGGTGAAAAATGAGAGCACTAATGAGTTTTCCTTTTCTGTTTTTCTGTTTATATTTCCAACTTTATCTCGATCCAGAGTGAAAAAAAAAAGGGAAAAAGGAGAAAAACCATTACATTATCTACATCTCAAGTATAGTTAAATTTCTGCTGAGCCCAAATTTAAGTTTCTTTGAGCTCATTGCACAAACTATGTATTTTTTTAAAGAGGTTTTGATTTTGCATTTTCTTTTGTAGCTTGTGTTTGAAAAAACATATGAATCTGGACTTTGGTTTCAAGGAAAGTCACTTTCTAAATCCCTTTCTGAAAGGATGCTCCAAAAAATTTATCATACAATGTGTAGGATGATCTTATGTCTGCTCTTTAAGTGAGCTACCCTTTAAGCCTTATGATAGTTTCTTATGTCTTAAACTTTAAAGCATAACAAGATGTGGTACTGCTGTAGAATTTTGTGACAAGCCCGTGGGAAGGAAAAGAGAAGTCTTAATAAAAGGACCTTCATCCTTCCATTCATATTTTTCCTCTCTCACTCACACACACGCGCAGACAGTGACATTTCAATACATATTTAGACTTTGTAAAAATATTCAATTTATCATTTAAGATTAAACCAAACTATTATTATATAGGATATTAACCCTGCTTCCCTTAAGCATTTCATTCAACTTCCTAGAGTTTGTTAGGGGTAACTGAAAGAATCTTTGGGTTTGAGTTATTCAAATAGATCCTATCTTATGTACTTGTTTTTTATTCTTTTTAAATTTTTAACCGTGACTAGGAATGGGCACCCATGGGTACTAACCACCACCACCTAACTGGTATCAATTTGGGCCAATGGGTAACCCGTTGCTGTTGCTCATCCCAACCTACTTTACAAGTGGTGCCACAACACAGGGACAAGTATGATTTGATGGAAGTGCAATTTCCAAAATTCAGACGAATGACAAAAAAACGCTGGTCTCTTTGCATTGCAGGCTCTAAAATATAGCAAGGAATCTGCAATCTGGGTTTGATTTACTTTTAAAGACCCTGACCTTTATCCTATTACAAATTATGTTAAACCTTCTATATGATAGAATTTTACCACTCATCTTTAGGACTGTAGTACAAAATCGACAATGTTGGCTTTCGTGATCTGCAGAGATCCGTATCTGTGCTCTTCTTCTTTTGTGTGTCTGTGTGAATGCTCAAACATCCAGTTTCATATGTGACGCATATCAAACCTTAGTTGATTGCATAAAATGAATTTATAGTAATATATTGTATTCATTTCCTAACATGATTTTGATAAGTCATGCATGATGGGAAGACTGTCTTTTGCAGCACAGGATTATTTCTTAGTTGTAGAACAGAGTAACTGCACCGTGATGTGAAAATAGACTGTTTTAATTGTATTTCCGTGTATTGGCAGGTATTCTTTTTGGTAGTAAAATGTTGTTTAAAATGAAGTTATGAATATACAAATGTAGTAATAGAGTATTTTAAAATGTTTCTTCAGGATGTTGTGTTCTGGTTTGCGATCTTTAACATTCAGTGGTTATCACACACCAAATGTTCTTCCTATGGGTTGCAGCAGTTCTATGTTCTTTTTTGTTATTGACATAACAAACTGTTCTTTCCATCATTCCCACTTGTTGCATTTCAACGCTAATTTTTTCTATTCTATGGTTTTTTTGATATCCTTTTATATTACTAGCTTTCGAGTTTGTCCACATTTTAAAGACATTATTTGTTCCTGAAATGCCAGCGCTGGAGTCTGTTACTGTTAGCCTTTTTATTTTGTAGGTAATTTTTGAGGATTGATGTTTCTTCTAGAGACATGCAATGATGTTTTTTGTTCGTTCGTTCAGTAGTGTGACGCTTTCTTATGTTTGTTTGTTGTGTCGTACACTTGCTCATTCAGTAGTTATGCTTCGGTTCAACTTATTATTTTGCACACTGACCATCTGGTTTATTTCCGTCATATTCCAATTGTTATTATTTCTGATGGTTCTAATTGTTTAACTGTTTTTTTTCCCAGGATATCTAAAACCAGAGGCTACGAGGATTTCGCCTCAAATTTCCTTTTTGTTTTTTTGACTAATTTGATCTAATTTCAATCAAAACAAGTCTGTATAATATCAATTCTTTTATTTGTAGTTATTACTTGTATTGTATGCGTGGTTTTCTTTTTCTTTTGTTAGCCACTTGGAACATAGATTAGGCCCAATGATTTGTTGGGTCGATACTTCCAGACCCGCAATACTAAATTGGGCCAATGAATGGCACATATTCGATCAAAAAGGCTCACTAGAAAGCCCATGAGAGGTATTAAGCCCAATGATTTGCCAATATACGACAAAGTTGGCCCAGTGAAGGGCCAATAAACCTCAAAGAAGGCCCAATGGAGAGCCGCCAAACTACAAATTACACCCAAAGTAGGGTCACAAAACGACAAAAAAAGATCAGTAAACGACAAAATAACCACAATGATGGACAATAACCGACAAAATAGGCCCAATAGAATGTCTCTAAACTATAAAACAGGCCCAATGAAACACCATTAAACGACAAAATGGGCCCAACAAAGTGTCACTAAACGATAAACTAGGACCAATGAAGAGACGCTAAACGACAAATTAGGCCCAATGAAGTACCACTAAACGACAAAATAGGCCCAACAAGTACCACTAAACGACAACTTAGGCCCAGTGAAGCATACCAAACGACAAAATAGGCCCAAGTAAGGCCCATGTTTATTTTGTCGTTTAGTGATGCTTCATTGGGCCTGTTGGTCGTTTAGCGTCACTTCATTGGGCCTAGTTTGTCGTTTAGTGTTACTTCATTGGGCCTAGTTTGTCGTTTAGTGGCACTTAGTTGGGCCTAATTTGTCGTTTAGTATGTCTTTATTGGGCTGTTTGTCTTTTAGTGGCACTTGTTGGGCCTATTTTGTCGTTTAGTGGTCTTCATTGGGCCTGATTTGTCGTTTATTGTCTCTTTAGTATGCTAGTTTGTCGTTTAGTGGCACTTGGTCTATTTTGTCGTTTAAAGGCCTTCATTGGGCCTGTTTTGTCGTTTAGTGGGCTTCTATTGCGCCCATTTAGTCGTTTATGTCCATCATTGGGCTTATTATGTCTTTTACCGATCCTTCACAAGGCTTTTTTGTCATTTTGTGACCCTACTGTGGGCTTAGTTCGTAGTTTAGTGGCTCCATTGGGCCTACTTAGAGGTTTATTTGCCCTTCATTGGATCTACTTTGTCGCTTAGTGGCGCTTCATTGGGATCAATAACTTTTATGGGCTTTCTAATGGGTCTTTTTGATCGAATATGGGCCATCCATTGGCCCAATTTAGTATTGTGGATGTGAGGTATCGTTCGTTCTAAGAAATCTTTGGGCCTAATCTATGTTCCAAGTGGCTTACCAAAAAAAAAAAAAACCATGCATACAATACAAGTAATAACTACAATCCGCAGCACTCAAATAAAAGAATTGATATTATACAGACCTGTTTTGATTAAAATTAGATAAAATTAGTCAAAAAAACAAAAAGGAAATTTGAGGCAAAATCCTCGTAGCCTCTGGTTTTAGATATCCTGGGGAAAAAACAATTAAACAATTAAACAATTAGAACCATCAGAAATAATAACAATTGGAATATGACGGAAATAAACCAGATGGTCAGTGTGCAAAATAATAAGTTGAACCGAAGCATAACTACTGAATGAGCAAGTGTATGACACAACAAACAAACATAAGAAAGCGTCACAATAATGAACGAACAAAAAACATCATTGCATGTCTATAGAAGAAACATCAATCCTCAAAAGTTACCTACAAAATAAAAGGCTAACAGTAATAGACTCCAGCGCTGGCATTTCAGGAACGAATAATGTCTTTAAAATATGGACAAACTCGAAAGCTAATAATATAAAAGGATATCAAAAAAACGATAGAATAAAAAAAACAGTAGCATTAAATTGCAACAAGTGGGAATGATGGGAAGAACAGTTTGTTACGTCAATAAAAAAAAAAGAACATAGAAACATTTGGTGTGTGATAACCACTGAATGTTAAAGATCGCAAACCAGAACACAACATCCTTAAGAAACATTTTAAAATACTCTAATACTACACTTGTATATTCATAACTTCATTTTAAACAACATTTTACTACCAAAAAGAATACCTGCCAATACTCGGAAACACAATTAAAACAGAAATTATATAAATTATACATGTTATATATCTTCCAGCTTTAACACAATCCAAAGGTATTGTCAATAATAGAAAAAAAATGAATGATAAACAGCTACAGTGAGAAATTATATCAAATTAAGATTGATATGTACCAACTACAACTAGGAAATATAACAGGACACCAGAGAGGGAGACTGAATAGATTTCTAAATTTATAACTGCCAATCTATCCTCGGTATATATTTGACAATGTTGGCAGATGAATTTTAGTTCTATGAAATTTACTGCTTCAAATGTTATTTCCATGGTAATAACCTATAAACATTGCTTGGGTGCATAGATGCAAAAGCAAATACTGAGAACTTCTAAGACTCCTTGCAGTCTCATCCTAACTTGAAAAGTTGAGAAGGAGAGAGTCTAATTAAAACACTCAGATTACTGACATTGCCTAGAACATCGTGTGCGACAATATTTGAGTAATGCACTAACCCATTTATGATTTTTCACGTTCTAATGTCTTCCACCTCATGTTCTCTTTTTGTCGGAACATCAAGTTGTTGAACAGTCTAGTTATGCATGGTTATTAGACCATCCGATATTGCTACAAATGATTACTTTTAAATTCACCACGCCACCGTGTATCACTGATGTAATGTCACAATGTCCCGATTCCATATGTAAGATACCGTCCCCCAATCCCGCATATCAGAATATATCATTCAACAAAAATATGCTATTTCAAAGCGCTCCCATAATGTGTGCCAATTTTGTTTTTGTCAGATATATCGTTCAACTTTTCAAAAATACTATGCTATTTGCCTCTGGAAACTTATTTTTGTTCATTTTGTTTCCATTTAAAAACAAAAAATGATATCTTACAAAATAAAAAAACAAACATCCACATGCTTGAATGAGTAAGGAGTAAAACCTTAAGGATAAGGGAAGGCCCGCTGTCGGTGCCTCTATCAATCCACATCGCACCCTATCGCATCTTGAGCAAACTGCCAGGGAGTGTACCTGGAATGGAAGCAAACAGCGAACGCATTAATGCTTTGAATTAAAGACCAACCTACTAATTAATTCCTCAGGCATGTCGCTCCATCAAATAAAAAACAAGGATCTCCGTAAACCATAAACCTAAGTAAACCCTAAATTTCAAAATCAACTTTGACGGGTCCTGGAACCCCCATACCTAGCCCCATCAGATCTCTGGTCTTGGTGTTAATTACTACGCGATTTCAACGTGAGCTCTTGAACGGATCCGATCGTGGATCAATGGCGGACATCGAGGCGTTAAACCTCGCAAAACAAGAATCGCATTTGAGGAGCTTTTCTTCATGCCCCGTCGTCTCTCTCTTTCTTCACACTCAAGTCTCTGCTCTACAACGAAGGCTCCGATCACAGAGCTAATGCCATTGTTAGGGTTTCCAGACCTTCTCTGTGTTTCTCATCTGTCATTTTCTCAGATCTGCTCTCACTCTCGTTCGGGACTCTGAGGGCCCGAGGGTTAAGGTTTTATCATTTGCGAGATCAGGCGCCTTTTCGGATAAGAAGCTTTTCTTCTTCATACGATGTCGTTTCCTTTTGTATTATAATTTAGAATTTGTAGAGTTTGTGGACTGGACTGGTTTGCTTAATTGCCTCGACCCTGGACTTGGCCGCGTGTCCTCACTTTCAATTCGCATTGGCCCATCCCTTTTTTTTTGGGGTCGAAATTGGCCCATCCTCTTGTATTAGTCCAGTAGTTATGGGCTTTCTTGCGACATGTCGTATAAAATTACTGATGACTCCCATGATTAATGAAAATTATTATACATAGCACTTCATTGAGTTAAAAATTAAAAATGACCAAACCAAACATTTTTGGATTGCATAAATACAAAGCTTTTTTGTCGCAATATTCATCATCTTTTTTACCTTTCTATGCATCATTTATTTATTGGGCATATGATTTGTCTATAATTAAAGTTTAAACACACTCCATTTATCACCTACATTAATGCTTCTGATTCTCTAATGGTTGCATTGGATTGCCTACTTTGATAAGACTTTTTTTCAAATTATAAGAGCATCCACAGTGGGGGGTGTATGTTAAATATACACCCCGAGTCACCGGAATCGTCTCCAATTGTGAGATGTAAATGGATGTAAATATACATCACCACTATGGGGATGTAAAATAAAATGTATATTTACATCCATTTTTACATCCCTTGCAGGCGGGACCCACCCGAAAAAAGAGAAGAAAAATGAAGAAAAGTCAACATAAAAGGCTGGGACCCACGGCTACACTCCCGAATTTACACCCCCCCACTGGAGCAAAAAACATATTTACACCCCCCGGAGGTGTAAAGGGGATGTAAAAGTGGCTTTACACCCCCGAATTTACACCCCCCCACTGGAGCAAAAAACATATTTACACCCCCCGGAGGTGTAAAGGGGATGTAAAAGTGGCTTTACACCCCCGAATTTACACCCCACACTGTGGATGCTCTAAGTATCTTGATCCTCAAAGTAGGTTTGCATAAATGGGTAAATTCGAAAAAGGAAAATCTACTATATTGTGATCAATGAATCTTTACTATAAATCATGTGTCATAATCGGAACTGTTTACTTTTTAAATTACTATTTAAAGATTATATATGGAAAATTCATTATGTTGATGTTAATTGTTACCAAACTAGTTGATTTGTTTTATATAATCGCACACATGGTCGTGGACAACCCCAATTGATCATGGGCGGAATATGCCAACTTCTTACCCTTAGCCCATCTTGGATCCATTTTTTAAAACTTAAAAACAATTTGT